AACAAAAATGCAATGATAACTTTGACATATAACTCCGCGAAAAAAAACGTATGAAGTTTTATTTTTTTTTTTTCAAATTTGTAGAAAAGTCCTATCTTTACGATAGTTGCCATGACATTTACGGAAAAATTCATTCCGTCCCATAGAGTGCGTCAAATTATGTAATTTTTTTGGAAACGTAACCTGTTTTTACTTTTCAAAAAATGACAGATGGGAGGAAAGGTAAATTAAAAATCGATCAAAAGCATCTTTAAGCACTGGCTTTACCCTTGAAAATAAAAAAAAAATTTTTTCGATATGATCATTTTTCGCGGAGTTACAATTGTCTAAAGTAATGCGAAATTTTTATATAAATTTATCTATGCGTTAATTTTATTGATCAGCATATTTTAAAGTAAAACAAGTTTTTAATAAAGATCCAATTAAAGCAAAGAATAATAAAAAGCCTAATATTCTAATAAAGAAATAAATATAGTGTTTTTTTATACAATTATGTATAAATAATGACAATTATAGCATTATCTTTTAATCAATAAATTTATATTTCACACACACACACACACACTTATTCTATACATTATCTACTCGAATTTCAAAGTTTAAGGATAATTTAGATGGTCATTTTAATTACCTCTCGCGTATAAATCTCTGGCAGTCTCTTTACCGAGACCATTACTTGCTCCCGTTATCACAACAGTTTTACCGTCGAGACGTGCTTTGCTTGTACACATTTGATTGAAAAGCCACATTTTAAGATTTTCTACCCACGACAGCCACGACATTATTAATATGCAATAGCCTATTATTCTATTGCAATTTATTTAATATTGATTTCACAAAATATGTTCTATTCAACTGTGAACTTTGCTTGACGTTGCTTGTCCAACAACCACACGCGTGTTCTTAGATTAGACTGTCTATAAATAAGTATGCGACCGGTTTTGACGACTTCTGTCCAAGAGCGTCCGCAAGGTGGGACAAAAGAGGCATATGGCCCCCCCCCCTCCCCCCCCTCTTCTGTGGAATCAGACAAGTACAAGAAAATTCAGAATTTGCTCTCATTTTTACAAATAAATATGTTTGTCAAATGTGAAAGAGCTTAAGTACAACAGATACACAACGTTTGGATATTTGCTCCTTGCGGTAGTTTGTACTAAAAATTTGGATCATGCCCCTCTCTAAAAAAAGTACTGCTGACGCTCTTGCTTCTATCCCCCACCCCTTTCATTTCATAGCATTTAGGCTTCCGTCGGAAACGCAAGATGTTCGCTCCTAGGAATGACGATACTGGAAATCGTACTGAGGAATTGAGTCTAGGGCTGTCATACTTTTTACTCACGTCAAATATTCGAAGCTTCGACATTAATTTTCGAAATTTAAGATGCCTTCGAAGTTTAAAATTAATTTCCAAGTTTCAAAGTTTTAAAAAATACATTAAAAATTTGAATTTTCTTAATTGGATCCCTCGTAAAAAAAAAATTACTAATACTGCTGGTACAGCAGTGACTTTATACATTTTAGTAGTGTTATGTAGTGTTATCACTGCATTATGTTATATGTAGTGTTCATCAGTGAGAAATGATCACCAATTCGATGTCGAATCGATGTCGAATTGACGTCGATATGATGATTTCGACATCAATTCGACATCGATTCGACATCGAATTAAAAACCATTTCTCACATATGTTATCACTAT